AAAAAAAAAAAAAAAAAGGCAAAGACGCAGTCCAAACTTCAGACTGAGGAGAGGTGGGATCTAGGATGTTGATTCCTCATTTAGAAGCAGCACAAATAATAACAGCAGAAATCTTAAGAGCTGCCGTTGACAGCGTCATTTCACCGCTGGAGGCTCTATGTTAAAACTTTATGTGTGGTGTCTCTTTTCATACTCACAAGGGCCAGATGAGAAGTATCCTATTGATAGCCCTGTTTACAGGAGATAAACTTAGGCTCAGAGAGTGACTTTTTGGAGTTCACATAGCCAGGGGTGGCACAGGATATGAACTCAGGTTCATCGAATTCCAAAGCCTAAGGCTTGGTCACAAAATGTTAGAATGTATGGGATGGGCAAAATCAGAAAGGATTTCAGGGAAAGGGGAGTTCTTGTGGACCAGAGGCCACAGTGGAAGCTTGCAGAAGAGAACCGGATCTCAAAAGGCAAGAAACCCCTAGGCCTGGTCTCCTGGGAAGTTTGCTGTGTGTTCCCACCGGTGACGCCTTCTGTATTGTCTGAGGATTCAGAGTCCAGAGTCTTCCCAGTCTGTCTCCTTTTTTCTTCTGGGTGTTGTCCTGACCCTCAGGCTTATCCTAGAGTCCAGCAGGTTTCCTTTTGCCTCAGAAAGAGTTTCTGTGGTCCCTTTGGGCAGCATCATTTGAAGGGAGCACAGGGAAATAGTAATGACTGCCTGACTTTCACTTTCATGTGCTTGTAAATTTGTTTGGAAGGAGCGCAGACTGCGGAAGACAAGCTGACTTAGCAGAGGGCTTAGGACCGGGTGGGCAGACTTGGGAGGAGAAAAGAAAACTTGGGAGGAAAGGTACAGTGCTTATCCTATTCCAGAAGTGCTGTGCTGTGAAACACAAAGAGGAAACTTTGGAAAGGGCCAGGTCTTGGGGCAGAGTGGGGACAGGAAGGAAGTGTGAAGTCTTTGTATTAGAAATAAAAAAGCGGAAACATGGCCAAAGGTAGTTAAGCCATTTTGGATCCAAAAACTCAAGAGTTGGAGAACAGGTATATTGAATGAGCTGTGTGTGTGTGGTGGGGTGTGGCTTTAGGTAGAGGGTCGCAGGGTTGAGGCCTCCTTTTCCTTTGTGGTGAGAGGTCATTGCTAGAGAACTGTCTCTCTGGTGTTGAGAAAGAGGGGTGTGTCTGAGAGCCCTGGAGTTTGGGGGTGGCAAGTACCTTTTCGCTGCCACAGGGAATTAGAGATGCCTCCCTTGCTGGGAGTTAGAGGTCTGGCTGTTTTCCCGTGTGAAGAAACAAAGAAGCAAAGCTCCATCCTGCTGAGGCTAGCAGCGGTGAATTCAGTTATTCCCTTGATAGGCATTGGACACTGACTTCTTACAAGACATAGTGACAAGTACATGTGCTGGAAAGCTGGCAGCTAGTGGGAAAGCCTCCATTTTCTTTCAGAATATCCCATGCTAGACTCAATGAAATTCCTAATTTATGACAGATCCCCTACCATTCATTCAATAAATATTTTCTGATTCACTGTCACAGACTCAGAGACAGAGATTCCAAGAAGCATTTAGGAAAACCCCTGGTGTGTTTCCCAAGAGGAAGCAGGCAACAAAAAAGAGGTGCTGGTGACTTCCCTCTTCTGGGTCATGTTAGGGTGTTAAAGTAGGGCACTTTTCACACGTGCTGTCTCAGAAAAACCCATGTGGTCCAGACTTCAGGAGTCCCACCCCAACCCCTGTAGTTCAAGGAGGCAACAATTGTTTAATACCTTAAATACTATCTTGCACACCCTTTACAACTCACTGCACAATATACCCAGTTGGAGTTTAACATAAGAATGATGATATCTGTGTCTTACCTTAAAGCAAAGTGGGTAATTGAGAAATAGTCTGTCTTGTTCCAAGGCTCCTGGTGCCTCCTCGAACCTCACTGGCTGGTTAGGAGCAACCCACATTTAAGAACCAGGCATTCTGCTATTGTACCACATGGTTCTGAACAAAGCAAGGTCTGAAGTCCCTAGGAAATGCCACCTGCTGTGCACTGACTGCTAGGCCTTAAGGGGTGGGTTTAGCATAGGTTCTCCTATGTGAGCCTCGTAATAGCCCCATATCTATATGTTACTATTTTAACTGCATCCTCCTGATAGAGAAAGGGGGTTCACTCAGGGAGATGATGTGCCTTGCCCCAGGCTGCAGTGGTGGAGCTGGGATTCCGCATTGTCTACCCCAGCCCTGGTGTGACTTCCACGCCTGTGCCACTTCCATTCTATGGAGAAAATTGCTGTGGTTCCCCTGCCCTCCCTGTCCCCTGTGGCTGGCATAGCCAGGAGGGCAGGAGGCTTCTTTCTCCACCCTCTGGCAGCCTGCGGACTCTTGGCTGTTCTGCCCTTCCCTGCCCTGTCCTGACCTGTCTCTTTTCAGGCTTGGCCACAGCTGTCAGAGATGCCAACCTAGTTATTTGGTGCTAAAATCAGTCAATTCCCTTATCAGAGTCCAGCTGCCCTTCTAGACATGCTCTCATTTGCAGGCTTGGAAAAAAAGGGAGAGGCTGCTCCCTGTCTAAGAGACAAGTCAGGGCAATGCTCTCTGCCTAAAAATTGAGAAAGAGGCCTGCAAACTCTCTCACACTGGCCCTGCAGGCTTTTCAGATGCAGTGAGCCACCCAGCCCCTTTGCCACATGCTCATTAGCCAGTTCCATGTGGCCCCAGTGAGGGAAAGTCTTGAGGTCCTGGCGATTGGGCTGCCACGCTTCTCTGCAAAAGTCACATGGGCACCCAAGCAAGATTTCAAATCAGCCTGTGGTGTTAGAGGCTTCTGGGCTGAGGTCCCTTAGAAGAGGTAGAGGTGAGCGGGGCCTCCGCAGGGGTCCATCCTGGGGCTGAGGACAAGATACAAACGACAGTGTGTTTCCCCAGCACCTCCGTTTTGGCTGACTCTACCCAGAGCCCAAGAAGGAAGTGATTCTTGTGAAAGAATGAGTTGAAGCAGGTGGCAGGCAGTCAACATAGTTTTCATGGGGGATCTTTTCTATCTCAAAGAGAAATTCTGAGTATTTGCACAGCGAGCGGCTGATGACTCAATTTCCTTTGTGTCTCTGCTTGAATGAGAAGGACACAGATGCTCTTTGGGAAAGAGCTGGTGCCTTCCACTTGAAATTCAGGCTCCACTTTTCATTCAGCAAGTGAAATTGTTCTTTAAAAGCATGCTACCAGCCAGGTGTGGTGGCACAAGCCTACAGTCTCACCTCTCAGGGAGGTTGAGGCAGAAGGATTCAAAATTCCAGCCAAGTCCATGCAACTTAGCTAGATCACAACATAAAACAAACAAACAAACAAAAAAAACAAAACAAGAGGGCTGGGGATGTAGCTCATTGCAAAGGCTCTGTGATTAATCCCCTGTATGAAAAAGCAGGCATACTTTCTCTAAACTAGTCAACAGGCCAACAAATGAGAAGTCAGCCTTCTTTGCCAGAGCAATGAATGGGGTATTTCTCTTCTCTGTCTGTACAGCTCTGTGGGATCCTCTTAATGTCAGGGGCTATGTTTGTGATTGATCTTTGGTGATGGAGGCATGGTTTTGGGCAGGGCTGAGGAATGGGCTTGGCTGGCCAGTGGCTGGAGCTCAGCTGTTTGTGGCTTGAGTGGCTTCTTGCTCTGGCTGGGGATGCCAGTCTGAGGACAGAGTTACTAGATGGTCGGGCTGAGAAGGGAGAGGGAGCCAGGCATGATGACAACACCAACCCTAAATTTAAGATTCAAAATGAAACACTCCCCAGAGGTGGCCAGCTTGCAGGTCTAAGGATGTGGAGCTGCCGATCTGAGGTTGGAATCCTTAGCTGAGAGATCCCCACCCACCAGAACCCCACGCCTGCTTCTGGAGAGTGGTAGTAG